CGTTGTCGTTGTCGTCCTCGTCGTCGAGCAGCTCAAGATTATCGTCAGCCTCCCGTCCCTCCCCCTCTTCATTCAGAGGAGGAAAAGTAACGATTCCGCCATACCCTTCTCTCGTTTCCCTCTTGTTAGGGCCTCCTGGGAAGCCCTCGTCGCCACCGCCGGATTCGCTTCGAAATTCTGGTCAGAACGCTTCCCGGGAGAGGTCAGGGGAGTAGCGGGAGGGGAAAGACACACAGACACAATCAATCGTCGATTCCCAAGAGAATATCACAATTTTTGGGAAGTGGTGGGGAAAACGAAAACCTAGAAAGTACGGGAAATATTGGGAATCGCGTGCCTTGTGTCTATTCATTTGTGTGTCCCTGGGCCCCTTGAGACACATGCATGCACCTCGCTGTGCGAAGCCAGGGTTTCTGTCTCCGGCCTGGCAGGCTGTGCGAGGGCACGTGGGACTGGCAGTCGGACTGGGGAGGCGCGGTGCGCTGCGAGGTCCCTGAGGGTGGGGGGAGAACTAACCTGGAACTCACCAGAGGAGAGTTTTTGCATTCACAAGCGGTTTTTCAATTCAAGAATTGGTTTCTGTTTTTGAAGTCAAAAAACTGGGTTTTGAATTCCAAAAACCAGTTTGGGGAATTCAAGAACCGCCACCACCACCAGCTAGGGGAGCTGTCCGCGCTCCCCCATTCCCCCCGAGCTGGTGGCACCCTGTTCCGGGCGCTCCCCCAGGGAGTGCCCAGAACGGAGTGCCACCAGCTTGCGGGTGGGGGCCTGTGGGAATGGAGTTCTATCCCAGACATCTGGCCGCTCCAATTTTTTCGATGCGAGAATTTGTTGGTTTTCGATGGTTTTGCCATGTTTCTCGGGTTCCCGCGTGCTCGGCTTCCGACGCTCCACGACAGCCCAAGAGGTCCTACAGATCGCCCCAAGACGGTTTAAGAGGCAACCACGAGAGCGCCCAGGCATTCCAATACGCCCCCTAAGACGGCCCAAGAGGCCTCCAAGACGGCCTCCGAGCGCCCCAGGAACGCGCCAAGAGGATCTCCAGAAGGGGGGGGCAGGGACCGACATCCTAGGCTCTCCGCTTACAAAACCCCCAGGAGGCCCCCACGGCCCAGGGAGCTCCCAGGACGCCTCGGGAGGCTTCCGAGAGGCCTTCCAACAGGGCCCCAAGTGTCAAAATTCATTGGTTCTTGTGAGGTTTTGAAGGTTGTTCGGGTTCTTGCGTTTTCGGTTTCCCGACGCTCTAAGACAGCCCAAGAGGTTCCAAAGATCGCCCCAAGACGGCCTGCGAGGCCCCCAAGAGAGCGCCCGGACATTGCAAGACGCCCTCAAGACGGCCCAAGAGGCCTCCAAGACGGCCTCCGAAAGGCCCCAGGAACGCCCCAAGAAAACCTCCACAGAGGGGGGAGGGACCGACGTTTGAGGCCCTGTGTGTGTGCGTGTGTGTGTGTGAGAGAGAGAGAGAGAGAGAGATAGAGAGAGAGAGAGAGAGAGTTCGATCGGGTTTTGCACCGAGCCGCCCAAAGCAGAGGCCCCCCAGCCGATGGCAGCTCCTGAGAGTTGCTGACAGGTGGGGCCTGCGGGGTCCCCCGGCCTCCTGAGAAGTTTCCTATAGGCCTTCCCCGGAGACAGAAGAGAGCCTCGCACGAAGGCGCGAGGGCTGCCGAGAAGTCCCGCCGCCCTCGGAAGAGGACGAGGGAGGAGAAAGGAGAAAGAAGGAGGAGGAGGAGGAAGAGGAGGAGGAGGAGGAGGAGGACTCTTTGGAGCTTTGGGCCACTCGGCACTCGGGGCCTCCTGGGCGCCTCCCGGGGGCCTCCTGGGGGCCTCTCGGAGGCGTGCGCCGCCTTGGGCCTCTTGAGGGCCTGTGGAGGCTCCGTGGGAGGCTCTTTGGCCCCCCGTCGCTCGCCGCCAGGGCGTGCTGCGCAGGAGGGCGCCCGCAGCCGCGCGGGCTCAGGGCCGCCACGGCGCGGCCGGGATGCCCGGAGGAGGCGCCAGGCCGCCGATGGTCGGGGGCCAAGAGAGGGGCGACGCGCCCAGGGGGTGGGCATGGAGGGCTTCTCCGAAGGAGTCTCCTCCTCCTCCTCCTCCTCCTCCTCCTCCTCATCCTCCTCTCCTCCTCCTCCGTCTCCTCCTCCTCCCCCTCCTTCTCCTTTCCGTTCCCCTGCTCCTCCTCTCCCCCTCCTCCTTTCCCTCCCCCTCCCCCTCCCCCTCCCCCCTCCTCCTCTCTCCTCCTCTCCTCCTCCTCCTCCTCCTCCTCCTCCTCCTCCTCCTCCTCCTCCTCCATGCACCTCCTCCCCCCCGGGGGAAACCGTGAAGGTGGGCATTGCTCGCCCCGGGAGCCTCGCCGGAGGCACGGACCGCCGGCGCCCCCGGCTGCACGTGGGGCGCTCCGGGGAGGGCTTCGCCGTCGAGGACCGGAGAAGTTGTCATCTCTTCTGCGGCGGAAGGACGATATTGCTTGCTTTGCTAAGGACAAAGGACCCAGACCCCCTCGAGTAATGAAACAATCATGACTGGAGGTTTTTCCTAATTTTCGGCCTCCGGGGGCCCTCGCTGGGCCTCGGGAGCGTCAAAAAACGACTCAGGATGCAAAGCCGGTCATGGGGACAGGGTCGGGACCTCTGGGGGTCGACGTAATGAAAAAATCATTACGTCGGGGGTCTGGGGATGGGACTCGTGGGCCGACGTTGCCAAGCTGCCAGAGGTATGGCACCATTGTGAAGACGAGTGCGTGAACGGCATGTGGCGCTGATTTCGCGTTGTTCCCGCAACCTGGCCTTCCTGGAGGCCAGCGCGTTTGGCGCGCCTGCCGCCCTTGCATGGGTCGCCCCCGGGCGATGGCAGACTCGTTTGTTCGCTCGTTCTTCCGCGGCGGAAGGGCGGCGGAAGTAAACGAGGCCGCCTCCGCCGGCGGAAGCCGGCGGAAGGCCGGCGGAAGGCGGCGGAAGTAAAAGAGGCGCCTCTCCAAGAGGCGAAAAGGCTTTTGGCATCAGAGGTTCCGGAATCGCCCACATGTGCTGCTCTCCCCTGGGCCATTCGCCCCAATCCTCGCCCCCGAGATGGCATGCCGTGGGAGATGACGCGCCGTGCGGGCCTCCTGCTGCTGGCTGCCCTGTGCATCGGCGGTGCGCCCGCGGGTGCGCACGGCGCCGAGGCGCCGAGCGGGCCCCGGAAGCGACGGGGCCGTCGACTTGTTGGCGGCTGCGTCCTGCAGTGTTGCTGGCCAGCTCCTGTTCCCTCGTGTTCCCGGTGCCGTCACCGGTTTTTTCTGTCGGGGCTGGACAGACCTCCTACCCTGACACGTCGATTGTTGAATTGGCTGTTTTCGGTTCGCGGGAGGGCGTCGCGGCCGTCATTTTTGCAGGTCCAGGTCCATCGGTTTCGGCCCCAGGCCGTTTTCACTAAGGGGAGGTCTACTAAAGGGAGGTTTGTCCAGCGCCGATTCTTGTCGGCCCCGTTCGCGGATCCAATCCTAGAGGTTTTAGTTGTTTGGGGCTGCTGTAGAAAACAGCGTCTCCTGGAGCAGTTCTGTTTGGATATTTCCCAGATGCCAGAGATGCTTGTTTCGGAGCGTGGCAAAGGCCATCGGCCCTGCCGCTTCTGGGGCCCACTGTGCTGAGGCGCCGTACTTCCTGATCGCGCACGACCACCGCTGCGCGGAGGCGAGCCAGTTGCAGAGCGGGCTTGATCCCGACAAGCGATCCCTGGAGGAGTGCTACCAAGAGTGCCTGGCGAACTCCGAGTGTGCTTACTTCGCGCACTGGCCCAGCACTGGGGAGCTCGGCTCGGCCATGGACGCCTGTCGCATCTACGCGAGTCCCTGCTTGCCGTTCTCGAGCCTGCTCGAGGGCTACCACAACAACATCTATCAGATGGGAGATCCCCAACGTAAGCGCACACCTGTGCTCCGCCTCCGCCTCCCCGCCTCCTGCTCCCCATCCCCACTCGCATCGTCGAGTCAGCTCGTTACGGTCCCCCCCCTGCAGGACAGGACCCCCGCTCGCACATCCACAGCGCCGTGGGGGTGCTCATGGGGGGCCGTGAGCGCGCCAGCAGCGTGGAGCACAGCCACCTGCTGGTCGCGCTCAGCCTCGTCCTGTCGCTGAGCGCCATCCTGGCGACCGTGGTGCTCGGTATCCGGAGGTTGCCAAAGGTGTGGCTGACCCAGGGTTTCCCTGGCTATTCGCGCCGTCTTGGGACCCCTGGGTCCCTACCTCCAGGCTGGATAGGTATGGCGGGCTTTCGACCCCTCAAAGTGGTTGAGAACGAACTCTTCTCTTTCCAACTCCGTTCCATTCCTCCGACCTCTCCCTCTTATCCACTCCCCTTCCTCCCATCCCCCCATTCTCCTTCCCTTCCTCCTCGTCCTCCCCTTTTTGTCCAATCCATCCTCCACTTCGGGGCTGCAAAAAACAATTACCCTGTGACGTACCCAACCCATTTGCATCATGGGAAACGAGGAGTTGGCCGAAACTTGCACGGACAATCGAATTGCAGGATCCGTTGTTTGATATGCAAGCTACTTGGGACACGCGCCAATGGCATGATGCGCAGGAGAACCATACAAGAACGAGGGGCGACAACTACAGGCTCGAAGAGGACATGGGGAGTCGGGAACGAAGAGCAGGAGAACGACGTGCGGGAAGCCCACTGTGCTGTGCCCCTCAGCAGCCCTCGAAAGTGGCGACAGTTTCACAGATCGCAGCCCCCCAGGGATGGCGAGGTCTAATCTGAGTCTGCGGTGACTACCCACGGTGCTAGGCCCCTCAGCAGCCCTCGAAAGTGGCGAGAGTTTCACAGATCGCAGCCCCCAGCGGCCCTCGAAACGCAGCGACGAGCGAGGTAAGAAAGTGGCGACAGTTTCACAGATCGCAGCCCCCCAGGGATGGCGAGGTCTAATCTGAGTCTGCGGTGAGTACCCACTGTGCTGGGCCCCTCAGCAGCCCTCGAAAGTGGCGACAGCTTCACAGATCGCAGCCCCCCAAGGATGGCGAGGTCTAATATGAGACTGCGGTGAGTGCCCACTGTGCTGGGCCCCCCAACAGGCCTCGAAAAGGGCGACAGCTTCACAGATCGCAGCCCCCCAGGGATGGCGAGGTCCCATTTGAGTCCGCCGTGTGTACCCACTGTGCTGGGCCCCCCAGCAGGCCTCGAACGTGGCGACAGTTTCACAGATCGCAGCCCCCCATGGATGGCGAGGTCCCATTTGAGTCTGCGGTCAGTACCCACTGCGCTGGGCCCCCCAGCAGGCCCCGAAAGTGGTGACAGTTTCACAAATCGCAGCCCCCCAGGGATGGCGAGGTCCCATTTGAGTCTGCGGTGACTACCCACGGTGCTAGGCCCTTCAGCAGCCCTCGAAACTGGCGAGAGTTTCACAGATCGCAGCCCCCAGCAGCCCTCGAAACGCAGCGACGAACGAGGTAAGAAAGTGGCGACAGTTTCACAGATCGCAGCCCCCCAGGGATGGCGAGGTCTAATTTGAATCCGCCGTGGGTACCCACTGTGCTGGGCCCCCCAGCAGGCCTCGAAAGTGGCGACAGTTTCACAGATCGCAGCCCCCCAGGAATGGCGAGGTCTCATTTGAGTCCGCCGTGTGTGCCCACTGTGCTGGGCACCCCGGCAGGCTTCGAACGTGGCGACAGTTTCACAGATCGCAGCCCCCCAGGGATGGCGATGTCTCATTTGAGTCCGCGGTGAGTGCCCACTGTGCTGGGCCCCCCAGCAGGCACCGAACGTGGCGACAGTTTCACAGATCGCAGCCCCCCCGGGATGGCGAGGTCTACTTTGAATCCGCGGTGGCTGCCCACTGCGCTGGGCCCCCCAGCAGGCCTCGAAAGTGGCGACAGTTTCACCGATCGCAGCCCCCCCGGGACGGCGAGGTTTAATTTGAATCCGCGGTGGGTACCCACTGCGTTGAGCCCCCCAGCAGGCCTCGAAAGTGGCGACAGTTTCACAGATCGCAGCCCCCCAGGGATGGCGAGGTCCCATTTGAGTCCGCCGTGGGTACCCACTGTGCTGGCCCCCCCAGCAGGCCTCGAAAGTGGCGCCGGTTTCACAGATCGCAGCCCCCCAGGGACGGCGAGGTCCCATTTGAATCCGCGGTGGCTACCCACTGCGCTGGGCCCCCCAGCAGACCTCGAAAGTGGCGACAGTTTAACAGATCGCAGCCCCCCATGGATGGCGAGGTCTCATTTGAGTCCGCGGTGTGTACCCACTGTGCTGGGCCCCCCAGCAGGCCTCGAAAGTGGCGACAGTTTCACAGATCGCAGCCCCCCAGGGATGGCGAGGTCTAATTTGAATCCGCGTGGGTACCCACTGTGCTGGGCCCCCCAGCAGGCCTCGAAAGTGGCGACAGTTTCACAGATCGCAGCCCCCCAGGGATGGCGAGGTATAATTTGAGTCCGCGGTGGGTACCCACTGTGCTGGCCCCCCAGCAGGCCTCGAAAGTGGCGACAGTTTCACAAGTCGCAAAACCCCCCGGGATGGCGATGTCCCATTTGAGTCGCTGTGTGTACCAATTGTGCTGGGGCCCCCCCAGCAGGCATCGAAAGTGGCGGCAGTTTAACAGATCGCAGAACCCCCAGGGGGCGAGGTCCCATTTGAGTCCGCCGTGGGTACCCACTGTGCTGGGCCCCCCAGCAAGCCTCGGAAAGTGGCGACAGTTTCACAGATCGCAGCCCCCCAGGGATGGCGAGCTCTAATTTGAGTCCGCGGTGGGTACCCACTGTGCTGGACCCCCCAGCAGGCTTCGAACATGGCGACAGTTTCACAGATCGCAGCCCCCCAGGGATGGCGAGGTCTAATTTTAGTCCGCGGTGAGTACCCACTGCGCTGGGCCCCCCAGCAGGCATCGAACGTGGCGACAGTTTCGCAGATCGCAGCCCCCTAGGGATGGCGAGGTCTAATTTGAATCCGCGGTGGCTGCCCACTGCGCTGGGCCCCCCAGCAGGCCTCGAAAGTGGCGACAGTTTCACCGATCGCAGCCCCCCCCGGGACGGCGAGGTTTAATTTGAATCCGCCGTGTGTACCCACTGTGCTGGGCCCCCCAGCAGGCCTCGAAAGTGGCGACAGTTTCACAGATCGCAGCCCCCCAGGGATGGCGAGGTCCCATTTGGGTCCGCCGTGTGTACCCACTGTGCTGGGCCCCCCAGCAGGCCTCGAAAGTGGCGACAGTTTCACAGATCGCAGCCCCCCAGGGATGGCATGGTTCAATTTGAATCCGCCGTGAATGCCCACTGTGCTGGGCCCCCCAGCAGGCTTCGAAAATGGAGACAGTTTTACAGATCGCAGCCCCCCAGGGATGGCGAGGTCCCATTTGGGTCCGCCGTGTGTGCCCACTGTGCTGGGCCCCCCAGCAGGCCTCGAAAGTGGCGACAGTTTCACAGATCGCAGCCCCCCAGGGATGGCGAGGTCCCATTTTGAGTCCGCCGTGTGTACCCACTGTGTTGGGCCCCCCAGCAGGCCTCGAAAGTGGCGACAGTTTCACAAATCGCAGCCCCCCAGGGACGGCGAGGTCCCATTTGAGTCCGCCGTGTGTACCCACTGTGCTGGGCCCCCCAGCAGGCCTCGAAAGTGGCGACCGTTTCACAGATCGCAGCCCCCCAGGGATGGCGAGGTCTCATTTGAGTCCGCCGTGAATGCCCACTGTGTTGGGCCTCCCAGCAGCTTCGAAAGTGGCGACAGTTTCACAGATCGCAGCCCCCCAGCTGGCACGCAGCGACGAGCGAGGCAAAATGCAAGGGGGAAGAGAGCGGCGGGAAGGAGGCAAGGCGACGCGCGTGCAGTGCTCTATTCAAAACGAGAACCCAACGCAGGAGGTTCGGGAATTAGCCGGGCGAAGAACCCAACCATGTGCACCTGTGAATACCGCAATTATAAGTACCGTCTGAGGTGGAACTCTTTGTGGGGCAACGCCCACATGCGGGCTGTGTCGCTGGTGCCTTCGGTGGAGCTCCCTATGGGGCCACGAAACGTGTGAGGGGTGTGCCGGAACGGGGGTGTCGCCCACATGCGGGCTGCGCCACGGGGGCCTCAGGTGGAGCTCCCTTTGGAGCCACGAAACGTGTGAGGGGCGTGCCGAAACGGGGGTGTCGCCCAAATGTGGGCTGCGCCACTGAGGCCTTAGGTGGAGTTCCGTGTGGGGCGACGAAACGTATACTGTGTCGCGCACATGCGGGCTGCGCCATCGGGACCTTCCGTGCAGCTCTCTGAGGGGCCACGAAACGTTTGAGGGGTGTGCCGAAACGGGGGTGTCGGCCGCATGCGGGCTGCGCCACGGGGGCCTCAGGTGGAGCTCCCTGTGGGGCCACGAAACGTGTGAGGGGTGTGCCGAAACAGTGGTGTCGCCCACATGCGGGCTGCGCAACTGTGGCCTTAGATGGAGCTCCCTGTGGGGCCACGAAACGTGTGAGAGGTGTGCCGAAACGAGAGTGTCGCCCACATGCGGGCTGCGCCATTGGGACCTTAGGTGGAGCTCTCTGTGGGGCCACGCAACGCGTGAGGTGTGTGCCGAAACGGTGGTGTCGCCCAGTATCGGGCAGCGCCACCGTGACCTTAGGTGGTGCCCCTTACGGGGGATGAAGCCCTTGTGGAGTGTGCCGAAACGCAGGCGTCGCCCACATGCGGGCTGCGCCATTGAGGCCTTAGATGGAGCTCTCTGTGGGGCCACGAAACGTTGAAGCGTGTGCCGAAATGGGGGTGTCGTCCGCATGCGGGCTGCGCCACTGGGACCGTAGGAGGAGCTCCATGTGGGGCCACGAAACGTCTGAGGGGTATGTGCCGAAACAGGGACATGCGGAGAACAGAGGCAGGGATGGGAGGAGGGGGGGGAGGAAGGAAGGCAGGAAGGAAGGAAGAAAGTAAGAAGAGACGCGGGGCGCTATCTCTACAAGAGAGGACTCAGCACCACAGGATGGTTGTGAAAACATACAAGGAATAACCAGCACACAACAACACAACATCAACGACCCACGGCTGAAAAGCTCCCAAAATAGTATAATGAATCCGGCGCATGGTTTGACATTGCTTGGCATTGCTTGGCATTGTTTGGCATTGCTTGGCAATCCTTGCTATTGCTTGGCATTGATTGGCATTGTTTGGCATTGCTTGGCATTGCCTGACATTGCTTGGCGTTGCTAGGGGCCCGAGGAACCCGAGGAACCAGAGGGGCCCGAGGAAGATGAACCCGAGGACTCTCTGGGGAACGGATGGAGTAGCACCCCGAGACACCAATCAATATGCAAGGACGTAGGACCCCCTAAGGCAAGCCTACCTGGGCCAAACAACACACAACTACGAACACAACTCGGCAGTTACCCTGGGGGTGGGTGGTGGGTGGTGGTGGGTGGACTAAGTATTGGTTTGCTGTGGTCTTGCTTGTTCTTTGATATTGCGTTTTTGCTGATTTGCCAGCCGTCGGTCTTTGAATGGTTTTGTTTGTATGTTCGTGTGCCGTTGTTGGCTTTCGCCTCTGGGGCTCCCCGCTTGACGTTGATGGAGGGGGGGGCAGTGGGAGAGAGACGGACGAGCCGCCCGCTTCTGGGAGGGAGCGAAGGAGGAGGAGGAGGAGGAGGAGGAGGGGAGGAGGAAGAGGAGGGGGAGGGGGAGGAGGGGGACGGGAGGAGAGTGAGGAAGGTGGAGGCGGAGGAGGAGAGGAAGGAGCAGGAGGAGGAGGCGGAGGAGGCGGATGAGGGTGGAGGAGGGGGCAATCTAGAGTCTGGAGGAGGGGGATGTGAGGGAGGAGGAGGAGGAGGAGGAAGAGGAGGATGAGGAGGAGGAGACGGGGAGGATCAGGAGGATGAGAACGATGATGAGAACGAGGGTGAGCAGGGAGTAAGAGGAGGAGGGGGAGGGGGAGGAGGAGGAGGAGGAGGAGGAGGAGGAGGAGGAGGAGGAGGAGGAGGAGGAGGAGGAGGAGGAGGATTTCCTGATTGACCAAAAGACCCACCAAACACATCTCTGAGTAACAAATGATTCCCTTCAGGAAGGATTCCTTCAGCTTAGTAAGGGTTTCCTTGCGTGGAGATGTCTGTAGCCAGGAAGTCCTACTAAAGGAATCCGTCCTACGACATTGTTGCGCATGAGTCCTTGGACACTTCAGTGAAGGCATACTACAGACACCCCTTGCCATGAGATGAACACATCCACTGCGAAAGGAATCCTTTCGAAGGCGCCCTAATGAGTCAGTACGAAGGAGTCCTTACCAATGAGCCCCTGCAACATCTCCAGTATCGAAGGGATCCTTATTCAGGAATCCGTATTGAAGGGATCCTTCCCAAGCTGAGTCCTTAGTACGGAATCGTTTATGAATGAGCGCTCATTGAATAGGCCCTGAGTTAGAGGGATCCTTACTACATCCCCTCATTGTGAGATGCGTCCCTCTACACTGAGGGAGCGCAAGAATATCATTTCCAATCGGTTTCCTTCTGCAGTAGGACCCCCCGTGTTGCAGTACTATCCTATGTGCACTGGTTGTACTCGGGTTTCCTCTGCACTGGTATTTCCTTCGCAAGTGATCCTTGCCATGGAACCATTCGTGCAACATGATTCCCTTTGCAAGGCTGGAGCGGTAGCAACCCTGAGAAAGTATAGTTCAACCATTATCACTGGATAGTCGTAGAGAGAGAGAGAGATAGAAAAAACAACATAACAGGAGAAAGAGGCAGCGAAAGAGAGCGAGAGAGAGAGAGAGAGAGAACGACCGGGAGAGGGAGATACCGAGAGAGAGAGAGAGAGAGCGACACACACACATGTATATATATAGAGAGAGAGAGAGAGACATGGCGACTTAGAGAGAGAGAGAGAGAGAGATATTGAATTTTGTTCACATGTACAGAAAGACATCGAGATATAACGGGAGAGAGGGATGGAGAGAGAGAGAGAGAGAGACACAGATAGGGAGAGAGGAGGAGCAGGAAGAGGAACTCCCCCAACTCTTTGCAACAGGAATCCTTGCCAAGGGAATCCTTGCGGAGGAGCCTCGTTCATAAACCCTCATTGCACGGATTTCGCACCCAAGGGTCCCTGAAGGAATCCTCACTAAAATTGGCACCTTGAGTTTTAAACAAATCTCGGCATCCCATTGTCATTTGAAGCCTTCCGGAGGAATCCTGACCAAGGGGATCTTTACTTAACGAGTATTTGCGCTCTGAGTCAGTAGCACATGCAGCATTGTTATTTTAATCGTTGCTACAGGGATCTTTCCTAAAGGAAGTTATACTTTTGTCATCTCTGCTGCGGGTACAGCTGCGGTGGAAGATTCAAGAAGCTTAGTAAGTCTTGCATCCCAGAGCCCGAGGGGCCCAGGAAGTCAAAGTACGCGTCCTCGGTCTTGAGGGCGCTGCGGAGGGGGAGGCATCCCAGGCTGGCTGGCGTGACTTGTGAAGTGTTCGACCCTGCTGCTGAAGCGAGTGATTCTGAGGCTGGCGATCGGGCCGAGCCTGTCGGGTCTGATCAGGCCCGCAGACCGCTTCGGGAGGAGGGTGAGCACGCCCCAGACCAGCCAACCCTTTCAGACAGCTCGGACTGACCTGCACATGGCGGGTAAGCTTGTCCGAGTTTTTTCTTGACTCAATCCGAGCTGGCTCGGGTTCAGGGCGCTTGTAAAAAAAATGTCCTAAAGGGATCCTTCCAATCATAAGTCCTTACCGACGAGTCTTGATTCAGGAGCCATACTACATTATTCCTACCTAACATAATGTTTGCTCGAAAAGGATCTTTAGAATCCTGAATGCGTCTTTAGTCGAAGGAATCAGTATGAACGAGATCCGTCACAAGGGATCTGAGTGAGGAATCACTATCTATGAATTTTTGCTGAGGCCATCTTTCACGGACGCATTACCAGCGAAGGAATTGTGAAGAAATCCTTGGCCAGGATATCCTTACTGCATGATTCCTGACTGGAAGAAGTCTTACCAACGGATTTCTTATTACATGTATCTTTACGCAAAACATCCTTTCTGATGAAGCCTTGCTGACTGGAACCCTTTTCAAAAACAATCCTCAAGAGTCCGTATTGAAGAACTCCTCATTCAAAAGGGCCTTCGCTAGGGAATATTATTGCAAGTTCGTAAAAAGAGAACACGTTGACATCAAAGCGGACCAGGAGGGCGATGAGGATCATAGCGAGGAGGAGGAGGAGAAGGAGGAGGAGGAGGAGGAGGGGAAGGAGGAGGAGGAGGGCGAGAAGGAGGAGGACGAGGGAAAGATGGAGGAGGAAGGGAGGAGCACCGAGCTGGGAGGAGGGCCGAAAAGCCGGCCATGCCCGTCCAGTCTGGCGCCGGGTCCCCCATGGGCCTCATGAGAGGGTGCCCTGGAAGCCGCCTGGGCCCTCCAGGCAGGTCCCCTTCCAGGCATTCGACGAGGTGATGTTTCCAACGCAAGCCCACGAGGTCTCGACCCCCGTGCCCGTTGCCAGCTTTTCGCGGTTGCCCCATGTCTGATGGCCCACGGGCCCGACAACCGGCCTCAGGGGTTGAAATCGAGGAAAATACAGCCAGGATTGGAATTCCCCCTGCAAAGTACCCTCATCGCAGCAAAGGTGGAGAGGCGTGTCGAGGAGTAGCAGGTCGAGACACGGCCATGAGCACGTTGGTGTTGTTTAGACGGGATCGTGGCCTTCTGGACCAAACATCAAGCCGGCACTGAGGCCATGGCCGCATTCTTGAATAATTTGAGGAAGTCTCAGGCAAAACGGTTGCCAGACCGGGCGTCCCCAGGCTCCGCGTCCCACTCTGTGGGACTCTTCTGTTGTTTTATTGTTGCTCGAGCCTTGTAGCGAGAAACGCTAGTAGGGACAAGCACACATCGTCGGAGATCTGAGCTTGTCGGCCACGCGCAGAAGGGGGGTAGGGGTAAGGGGGGGATACTTCTCAGAAGCACCCCAGCTTCTTTAAAGGCGCGGGCCTTCTCTGTAGATGTAGGGCTGGCGCCTTCTACGAAGCAGCCTCCTTCTAAAAAGCCTCCCCCCCTCCCCCCACCCCCTTGGGCGCGCCGTCAAGACTTCAGAGGGGCAAGAAACCATGAGAATGATACGTTCCAGGATCTGCAGGGCTTCCAGGATTTCCCATATGGTGGGAGCGTTGGTTCAGGAATGCGCTCAGGAGGCTTCAGACGTTGTTCTTGGGACATTTTGGGGTTCTAAGAACATGTCGTGGTAGGACTATACGGATGCCGGGGCGGTCGGTCTCTGCTCAAAAGGAGCGCTTCCTTTTCAGGAAGGGGCCATGTCATGCCTCGGGCTCGCATGCGCTGTCGATCCTTCCTTATGCGTTATGTAGTTATGTATGGTATCGCTCCTCATCTTTCCTGATGCGTTCTTGATCCTTCCTTGTGCGTCATCGAGCCTTCCTCATGCGTGTTGTTATTCTTTCTCGTTCCTTGTGCGTTACCCTTTGGAGAAAAGGGGGGCATCGTTCCCTATGTATCGCTCCTTGGGTTCAGGCCGATGACTGTACTTGGGGCGCATTGAGAGCAGACGGCGCGGCGACCACGACAACGATCACGACGATCACACCGATGACGATCACAACGACAACGATCAACGATCACGACGATCACGGCGACCACGATAACGATCACGACGATCACAACGATAATGTTCATAACGATAACGATCACAACGACAACGATCAACGATCAATGATTTTTTCTTCAGCTGTGCCCAGTGATCGCTGTGAGCCTTGCGATCGTTGTCGTTGATCGTTGCGATCGTTGTGACCGTTGTCGTTGCGATCGTTATCGTTGTGATCGCTACCGTTGTAATCGTTATCGTTGTGATCGTTGTCGTTATCCTGACATCCTCCTCGCCCCCAGCTCGGCACCGCCCGAGGCATGGCCGCCCTGGCCGCCGCGACGGGCGTGCCCGTGCCCCTCCTCGCGGCCCTGCCCTCCACGTCGCGGGCAGCGCCACGGGGGGAGGACCTCACCACCAGGGGGGTTGTTGCCGTTGCGCATATGCATCAAGCGCGAGCTTGTTGCGTCGCGAAAGATCCGTGCGAGGGCTCAACTCATGTGCTAATAGCGCCTGGCTGGCGCAGCGGCAACAAGATGGGCGCGGAGAGATGGACAAAGACCGTGGGCCGGCAAGGGCACAGAGTATGCGCCAGCCAGGCGGCGAAGCCCCTCTCCTTGGCACCCCCTCTAAATCATCTCCGAGCCTCCTCCTCCTCCTCCGAAGCGGTCGGGAAAAATGCCCCAGCCGATTGACTTGGTAAGTATAGCTCCCGGCGGCCAGTTCCAGCAGGGGGGCCACCACCTCATCTTGGGAAAGCGAGAGTCGAGGATCCCTCGATCCCAGGGACCCGGCGCTCTGACGAAAATCGGAGCGCCCTGCTCTTGTTGCCGTTCTCGGCCTCCAGGAGCCCTCACCGGGACCTCGGTAGCGCCAACAAACCACTCAGGTCGAAGCACCGGCCCTGGGGAAGTGGTCCAGACCTCTGCGGCCAACGCGTTGAAAAAACGGGGGCGGCCGGATGTCTAGGATCGAGGGTTCTTCGAGCTCCGGCTTCCTGGAGGGAGGCTCGAGGCTCGACGAGGCTGGGGACGTTGCCTGGAGTCCTCGGGAAGTCCTGGAGAGTCCTGGCAAGTGATGCATTCCAGGATTTCCAAGGTTGCCAGGATGTCCTACATGTCTTGATGCTCCGCATCGGCTGCGCCGCGAGACACTCTGGAGATCCTGGGGCGCATCTTGCGCCAACCTTGTCGAGGACGGAGGCAGGATCGAGGGTCGAAGAGGTCCTGGACCTGGTCGGGGGTCTTCGGAAAGTCCCAGGGAGCCCTGGGGGGGTCCAGGGGGCCTGTTTCCTGGAGGAGCCGGGGAGAACCCCCTAAGTTCGAGGAGGCGCAAGCAGGGATCGAGGCGCGTGGTTGAGTGGCATGTTCGAGGGGCCTCGCCTGTCCCCCGACTTGCTGTCTTTTCTTGTGCTCGACGCGGGCTCGATGCGGACTCGACGCGGATTTGGCGTGGATCCGACGCGAATTCGACACGGACTCGACACGGATCCGACGAGGCCGACCTGGCTTCGCCACGGATTCGACGCGGAGAGGACCGCGACGGGATAGGCAAGGTCTCCCGAGGACGCAACATAATATGGTTCGAGGCATCGCAGACATGGACCAGAGCGCGTGGGTTGGCGACGAGCCCCTCTCCCGTGCAAACGTCAGTGCGCTCCATCGCCAGCTCGTGCGGGGGCACTTCCCCGTGCTGTCTTCACAGCGCGGATCCGCCCAGGCCCAGGCCCATCCCCCAGGACAGCTTTTTCAGTCTACACACTGTTCATGTCTAATTCTTCTAGAGTTCTTTGAATTTCTGGGGGGTCAAGATCCTTTCATTTCGAATTGTTCCATCCTTGGCCTCTTCCTGGCCACTAGGGGGCCAGGAACAATTAGAAATGAGCACAATTAGAAATGAGCACGATTAGACACGAACGACGTGTAGGCCTCCCAGATGGGGTCGGAGTGGGTGGGGTCGAATGATCGCGCCGCATCGCCGATGCATCGACGATGCGGCTCGATGCAAGGCCCGATGTTCCCCACGCCGACGTCGCGGATGCGTCGCCGCATCGCCGACGCATTGCCGATATATCGGCGATGCATTGGCGATGCGGCGCGATCCTTCGACCCCGTCTGCTCGGACCCCATCCAGGAGGCCTCTATTCCCCCAGGGCAGTTTTTTCGCCCCGAGTCGTCTTTGACGGCCCTGGGGCTCGGTAAGAGACCGAGAAGCCGAACATGTGTGTTTTCTGAAGTGATGTTTGTAGCTCCAGCTATTTTTGCCACGTCGGTGATCGTGATCATGGCGCTGTGTCAGAGCCTCGAGCGTTTTCCACATTGGAAGATTGAGCGATTGGTGCAGGCTCGGAGTGATGTCACATAGCGTCTTGCCAGCTATGACCACCCACTTGCTGTCGCCATCCGCCTGAGGGTGGCAGAAAATACCATGTTTGATGTTAGGTATTTTGCTATAGCATGTCTGCTCTTTCTTCCTCCTCCACCTCCTCCCTTCGTGCTTTCGTCACGACGCGACGGGGTCTGGGAGTGGCCACCCGCCCCCCCCCGACCCCGATCGCGTGATTTTGTTTCACCACGTGGACCCCCAGAGGTTCTCATACCCATTCCTCGGGGCCAGTGTTGCGTCCCGAGCCGTTTTTTTTGTTGACTGCCCTTGGGTTACATGGGGTATGTTTCTCTACAGGAGGAGTATTCGAGAATGTTTTTTTTGTTTGTTTTGAATGGCTATGTTTGAATATGTTTTGACCTGCTTTATGTTTCCTTCGAGAATCCGCCTTTCAGAGGACATGCCCGGCCTAACCCTTGGGCCCAGCCGGAGCCCCGCGAGGCCAGAATTTGCACAACAACTTCCCGTGGCAAGTCGGGTACGACGGGAGGGGATCTGAGAGTGGCGACCCCCCCCCTGACACTGCCTGGACTTCCAGAGGCCCAGACCCCGCTCCTCAGGACCAGCCTCTTGCCCCGCGTCGTTCTCTGACGGCCCCTGGGGCCCTGCAAGGGCCCCGAAGGACCGAGAACTGCCGGAACGCTCCCGTCGCGACGCCCGCACGACGCGCAGGAGTCTGGGAGTGGCTCTCACCATCTCCTTCCGTCCAACCACACTGTCGCCTCCCTCTCCTCCTGATCCTCTGCGAGGCACGCTCGCATCCCCCGAATTATCGGGCCGCGCTCCGGCGCGCACCGCAGCGTCTCGGCGACGCGACTGCGCTCTCGGCGGCGTCTCGCGTGACGGTCCCAGCTTGTCTTGTGGCCCTCCGTCTCGCGCCGTGGATCGGTCCCGCCTCGTGCGCCGGGCCGGCCCGCGAGACAGAACGGCGCAAGGGCTGTCCTGTTCGGTGGCAGGTCATGGGAGTTGCTGTGTACCCTCTTAGTGCCGTCGACCAGCGTCGATTAGCTTCTGGAGGTCGATGAGATAGCGCCCACTTGGCGTCGATTTAGCGTCGATCAGCGTCGACTTAGCGTCGATGGGCGTCGATTTCGCGTCGACGAGCGCCGGTTCGCAAGAGCGGGCAAGACGGTATGGGAGGCCCCCGCGAGTTGCCACCGAAGAGTCTGGTAGTGGCAGCCCGTCCTGGCACTGCCTGGGCCACTCCCGTCACTGCCTTCACGGCGACGTCGCCGATGCATCGCTGGCGTCGCCAGTGCATCACCGATGCGGCGAGATCCTCCGACCCCATCTGCTCGGACCCCGTCTAGGATGAAGTCGGGCATGCCTCTCTACAGGAGGACCATCCAAACATGGTCAACAAAAATAGTCCGGGGACGATGTCTCGACTACTCTCGAGTAATTGTTGACTATTTCTCATGTTTCCCCGAGGACGTGTGACTACTCTCGAACATTTGTTAACTATTTTTCATGTTTCCTCGAGAACGTGCCCGACCGAAGTCTGGGAGGTGAGGTCCCCCGGTTAGGCGTGGCAGCCCCCTCCAGGAGGAGAAAAAACACACACAGACACAATGAATCGTCGATTCCAAAGAAAATAGAGGGAAACAAAAATGGGAAGTGGGGGGGGGGGGAAGACAAGAGCCCAGGAAATGTGCGAAAATATGGGGACTCCTGCTATTTGCGCGCATTTCTTTGTGTGTGTGTGTGCTTGTGGGCCCCTTCACCCCTGGCTTGTGTGTTTGTGCTTGTGGAGGATGTATGGGGCGCCGCGGCCGCTCCAGAGCGTTCCAGAACGCTCTGAGAGCGCTCCGGCACGCTCTGGAGCGATTTATCCTGATCCCAGCCCTGTTTTAAGGTGAGGTCCCCCGGTTGGGCGTGGGAAACTATGGGAAGTGGGGGGGGGGAAGACAAGAGCCCAGGAAATGTGCGAAAATATGGGGACTCCTGCTATTTGCGCGCATTTTCTTTGTGTGTGTGTGTGTGTGCTTGTGGGCCCCTTCACCCCTGGCTTGTGTGTTTGTGCTTGTGGAGGATTATGGGGCGCCGCGGCCGCTCCAGAGCGTGAACGCTCTGTCTGGAGCGATTTATCCTGATCCCAGCCCTGTGGTGCCCCCGGTTGGGCGTGGGAAACTATGGGAAGTGGGGGGGGGGAAGACCCCAGGAAATGTGCGAAAATATGGGGATCCTGCTATTTGCGCGCATTTCTTTGTGTGTGTGTGCTTGTGGGCCCCTTCACCCCTGGCTTGTGTGTTTGTGCTTGTGGAGGATGTATGGGGCGCCGCGGCCGCTCCAGAGCGTTCCAGAACGCTCTGAGAGCGCTCCGGCACGCTCTGGAGCGATTTATCCTGATCCCAGCCCTGTTTTAAGGTGAGGTCCCCCGGTTGGGCGTGGGAAACTATGGGAAGTGGGGGGGGGGGAAGACAAGAGCCCAGGAAATGTGCGAAAATATGGGGGATCCTGCTATTTGCGCGCATCTCTCCGTGTGCTTGTGGGCCCCTTCGCCCCTCCTGGCGCTGCCCGCGCCTCCGCCGCCCTGCTGCCCCTGCAGCTCGCCGCGCTGGCCAGCCGCGAGGGCGCCGGCGCGCTCGGGGCGCTGGCGGACCTCGGCTGCTCCTTCGCGTGGGCGCGCGCGCGCTCGCCCGACGCGGGGCTCCTCGGGGGGGGCGAAGCTCCTCCTCCTCCTCCTCGCTCGCTCCTCTCCTCCCTCCCCTCCCTCCTCCTCCCTCCTCCCTCCTCCTCCCTCCCCCTCTCCTCCTCCTCCTCCTCCTCCTCCTCCTCCTCCTCCTCCTCCTCCTCTCCTCCTCCTCCTCGCTCCTCCTCCTCCCCGCCTCCCTCCTCCCTCCTCCTCCTCCTCCTCCTCCCTCCCTCCTCCTCCTCCTCCCCTCCCTCCTCCTCCCTCCTCCTCCCTCCCTCCTCCTCCCTCCCTCCCCTCCCTCCTCCCTCCTCCTCCCTCCTCCCTCCCTCCTCCTCCTCCTCCTCCTCTCCTCCTCCTCCTCCTCATCCCCCTCCTCCTCCTCCTCCCTCCTCCTCCCTCCTCCTCCTCCTCCTCCTCCTCCTCCTCCTCCTCCTCCTCCTCCTCCTCCTCCTCCTCCCTCCCTCCTCCTCCCCTCCTCCTCCTCCTCCCTCCTCCCTCCTCCCTCCTCCCTCCTCCCTCCTCCCTCCTCCCTCCTGCGCTCGGAGGGGGGCGCCGCCGTCGGGGGTCCGCGCGTGCCGGGGTTTCCGAGGGGTGGCGTGCGAGGGTTTTGCGGGGTGTTTTTGCGAGCAGCCCTGGGCGTTTTTTCGTTCTAGGTTTTCGAGGTCTTGGAGGTCGTCGAGCAGCTCTGGGCGGTCGTCGATGTTTTTTTTTTTTGTTTTATTTTTTTTTCGGTGCTTTCGAAACGTTCCATGTTTTTTGTCTTCGAGGTGTTCGAGATTTGCGAGGTCGCCAAGGTTTTCGAACAGTTCCAGGTGGTTTTCGGCGGTTCTCGTGGTGTTTGTGCCAGCCTCGGGGTGCCTCTTGCAGCTGCCGTGACTCGCCGAGGGCGTTCATGGGGGGTGCCCGAAAATCGTCTCGAGCGACCGCCAGGGGCCCGAGTTCGACCCAGAAGCCAGACTATGAGGACCATTGGGGACGATAGTAACAACAATAACGATAACAACGACAACGATAACAACGATCACAACGATCACAACGATGAACCGATCAACGACCACAACAATCACAACAATCAACGATACCAATGATCACACTGATAACGATAACAACGACAACGATCACAACGACAACGATCACAACGATAACACCGATAACAAGGATAATACCGATAACGAACAATGATAACGAAACCAAAGATAACAACGATGGGCGCAGTCGGGGATACGTCGCCCCCCGCTCGTCCATCGATCGCCGAGAGGGGGACTGACAGCCCACTCCGCTCACGAGCGCGCGGGCCCGCTATCGGAGGCCTCCTCGCTGACCTGTCGGCGCGATGCATCGCCGATCCCCCCCCCCTTTGAGCCTCTCCTCCCCAGTGTGGCTTGTGGGGCAGAGCTCGGGGTGTCCGGCGACCGCTCTCAGGACGATCTGGGTGCCCCTTGCAACGCTCTCGGTGAGGCGCAGCCGCTGGAAGGCACCCCGAGGCCGGAAGACTGCGGAGAGCCAACGAAGACGCCCGACAAGTCCGAACCTCGCACCCCTGGCCCCTGACGTTGCCCCTGACTTCTCCCCTCATGCCCTAACCGCTTGACGACTGTTCGCCGATCGACTCTGGGGATGAAGCAGGATCAACCTTCAAGGCAGCTGCAGGTAAATCGAGTCAGATGCAGCTAAGTCCAGGTAAGGCGAGGTTGATCCAGAGATCTCCAGGGAGCTCTCGGCGGGGAACCAGGGGGGGGGAAGTGAGAGGGGGGGGCTCAGGAAGCGGCGGCGCTTCTCGGAAGCCCTCGCGCCTTCCGATTAGGTTTCTGTTCATCTGTTAGCGGGCGAAGAACGGTATTCGCCTTTCTATCTCTTCCCCACACGCACGCCCTCTGTCTCTTTCTCTCTCTATCTCTCTCTCCTCCTCCTCGTCCTCCTCCTCCTCCTCCTTCTCCTCCTCCTCCTCCTCCTCCTCCTCCTCCCCCTCCTCCTCTGACCCACAGTCGCCTCGATCCTCGACCCCGACGGCCCAGAACATCTGTCTCCGTCGCTGGGGGTGCCGCCCCGGGGCGGCTGGAAAGTCTATACCTTGCCGTGCCACGGCAAGGGCATAACCTCTCGATCAAGAGGAGAAAACATACACAGACACAATGGATCGTCGATTCCCCAGACAATATCGGAAACTATGGGCAGTTGGGGTGGGAAGACAGACACCCAGAAAATATGGGAAACTATGGGGGATATGTTTTTATGTGTGTGTATTTATTTGTGTGTTCTTGGGCCCCTTCACTCCAGCCGCCCAGGGCACGGGCGCCCACGGCAGCGAGGAGGCTGGGGGGGGGGGGAGGCGCCGGGAGCCTCTCGCGGGAGGCCCGCGGGGCCCCCGCCCCCTTCGTGACTCCCCCCGGTGGCTCGCCGCCGGAGGCCTGAAGTCGGGCGCGGAAAAGAGGGGGCCCAGACATCGGGCGTCTCGAAAAAATCGAGACGGAGGTTGTTCGTCGTTTTCGGCCTCTCGGGGCCCTCGCCGGGCCTCGGGACCGTCAAAAAACGACTCGGGGTGAAAAACCGGTCCCAGGGAAGTGGTCGGGAGGTCGGGGGCCCGTGTCTCGAAAAAATCGAGACGTCGGATGTCTGGGGGGTGCTGACTAGGGGGGGGGGGGGATACCGTGCCGGGGGCCATGGTGTTTCCCCAGATGTTCTGGCGCCTCTTCTCATCTTATTGCGTCCCTGGCCCCCCGCTGGGCCGCGCACGTGCCGCCGGTCATGATTTGCCACGTTCCCCTCCTGGACGCCCCCCTCTCGGCCGCTCCCGATGAAGGCGAGAGACCCGCGGCCGCTCCAGTGCGGCAGTCCGAAGGAGCGGCAGGCGTCGCGCGACGCCCTCCACACTTGTAAGTCGGGCGCGCCCCCCTGTGCAGGTGGAGTGCTCCAGAGGTAGTAGAACATCAGTCTGTGGGCGTTGTGTCGATTCTTTTGTGACGATTTGGGCATACATATATATATATATATATATATATATGTATATATATATGTGTGTACATATATATACACACATGTGTATACATATATATATATATATATTGGTTGACTTTGTTTCCTTTGTCGTCCCAAATCCGCCTGTAGGAGGTAGGGGGACATGCCCGACCTGACCTTAACACGACCCGTCGCCCGCCCGCAGGCTCGCGCTCGGCACGGCGGCGCTGCTCGGGGTGTACCTTGCGCGCAGGTCCGCGGCGGCGCGGCGGCGCCGCGAGTGCGGGGAGGTCCCCCACGGCCTGAGCCCAGGTGCTCCAGGGAGGGGAACCACTTTAGTCGGGGAACAAAGAGTGGCATGAGCATGCACTTCCGGATGCCCGCGCGGATTTCTGGGATCGGCGTTGGACCATCCTCCCAGGCGCGGGGCTCCACCGCCGATCTGAGAAATCCTCGCGGACCTCCGGAAGCTCAGGTTTCTGGTTCTGCGTGTTCCCCAGCTGTCGGCCTGGGGGGGCCAGGGCGTGGGGAGTGTGCTGGTGGTGCTGGGCAAGGCAGGGAGGCTGCCCTCCGCTCCTGCGCCCTCCCACGTCTCTCCTCCTCTCTCTCGGCCGTTTGGGCCCTGCCTGTTCGCCTGATGGGCCGTGCGAAACTCAAGCAGCAAGGGATTCAGGAAGGTGAGCGTTTTTTATTCCTTGTTTTGCCGATCGGCGCGGGCCCCCCCCCCCTCCGCCCCCCCCCCCCTCCCCACGGATCAGATCTTGGCTGTTTGGGGCGCCTGTTTCGAGCAGGTGGAGTCTCCCCACATAGGACCCAGAGCTGCAAACAGTCGCACTAAGCAGAGGTCCGGAGCCAGAGCCCCCATTCCTCCCCCCTCCCCCTTCCTCCCAATGTCGAGACGCCGAATAAGAAAACGCTCACAAGGGGATCCTGGGCCGGTTGCGGGCTGGCATGTCCAGCCTGGACTGCCGTGGCGGAGCATGGAGCCTCCAACCCCCCCGCGGCCATGGGCCGAGCAGCCTCGACCTCGGTGGACTGTGGCCCGCGGTCCGACACCCCAGCGCATACGGACCCCAGGCAGACGAGCGTAGAAGAAGATGGTGAGCATTTGTTATTCCTTGTTTTGCCGATCGGCGCGGGACCTCACCCCCTCCCCCCCCTCCTCCCCCTTTGGAGTAGATCTTGGCTGTTTCTGGCGCCTGCTTCGAGCAGGTGGAACCCCTACCCCATAGGACGCACGGCGCCAAACGGTCGCATTATGCAGAGGTCCAGAGTCAGACCCCCCCCCTCCCCCCTTCCCGCCCAATGTCGAAACGCCGAATAAAAAAAGCTCACATGCCAGAGTTGCTTGTACGGCGTGCCCTCGCTGGGCGTGGGTGCCTCAGTTGTCCATGTCTCAAAGCACCTGCTTGTGTGGCCCTTCGGCAATCAGGTTGTGCATGCTAAGAATGATGTCCCGGCTCAGACAAGGGGCATGGGCTCAGACAAGGGTAAGGGCAAGTGAGTGTCCAGCAGCAGGCAGTCGCAGTTGGAACGTTTGCCAAGGCGAAGCCAGGCAGTCCTGAGACCACCGCCGCGAAGATCTTGATCGATGCTGCCCAGAAGGTGGACGCCGCGACTAAGTCATCGCTGCAGCCCACTCAGCAGGTCACGGCGGCGGCGTCTACGGTGCAACGTGTTCAGCATGTTTTCGACAAGGCAAGGGTGAACAAGTTGCGGCTGAACTTGGAGGCGGAAGGGGCATCCGAGGTAATGACGTCAGCAGCAACCTTGGCAACGGCTGAGGAGGAGCGTGCCGACTTGTCCAAGACGGTGGTGCCAGATGGAGTAATTTCGAAGTGTGGTGCTAGTATCGATTTTGGCCAATCTTGTCGGTTTCTGAGACTGGCTCCTTTAATGTTGACATGTCCGCTACATTATCCCGTTGGGGTCGGAGTTTTTGCGATCGACGATGAGGTCTTGTCTGGGTATGATATGGACGCGGGCCGTCGTAAGAAGAAAGTGTCGAGACTTTGGCGGGTACCATGCGTGCTACGTCCAGAAGTTGTTCCCTCCCCCTTTTC